TCGAGGATCACGGGGTCTATCGAAGGCATGAATGGCACCGCCGGGCCAAGGGTAAACGGATAAGTATATACACCGAGGAAGTCGCCCTTATACGTCGTTACATCCTCCCACCGAGAGGGAACCTCCACTAACACCGCATCTCCCCAGCGGCAATCGACTTTCACCCTCTCGATGTACGTTATTAAAATGATGTATCGAGATGTGGGTTCACATCGCCCCGGCTTCGAAGAAGGTCTTTCGACCTTAAAATCAGAGGTCGTCTCAAAAGCCTCTGGAACGTATTCTCCAGCCCTAGGAGACGCTGCTGCTTTACCCTCAGAAGAGAGCGTGGAAGAGGAAGGCACATCTTCCTGAGGGACAGAGGTTGAAGTGTTCGCCATTTTTTCCAAAAGTTACAAAAAAGAAACGAAAAATCGCGCTTCAGGAAAGAACACGAGGGGAAGGTGAGAAGAAAGAAAAACTCTGTTGAGAGCCTGATGAGGCAGTAGAAAGGAAGGGACGAAGAAACGAGTATTTATAGAAGCCTAACATGTGCGGTTGGAACAGACTAAAGGGCAGCCAACCACTGTAATTAATTCAAAGGCTTTGAGGACTGTGTGGATGCGACCTTTAGAAGCCCAATTGTTACATCAGTCACTCGGTAGGGCGCAGCTACTTGCTTAGATGGAAACACCAGAGGGGCAAGATCTTGAGGTCGTTTCTCTTCGTTTTACTCTGAGAAACGCAGGGACTATCTATATGCGGCTAAAATCGGATAGACCGATTTCACGATCGGCGAGGCATTGCACAATTTCATCTCGAAGGGCCCAAAGAATAGTTCGGGGTTCAAAGTCTTCGAAGGTTCTTCGTGCCCGGTGTCGAGGCAGAACGAACCGGTGGTTATCACAAGTAAGCGGGAAGTTCCCTAGGAGCGATATTTTTCTGACAAAGCCTGCACTAACAGTGATAGCCTGCATCAGGCTGATTGAGTGGTTGTACCGGTTACTTTATGTAATAATTACACATATGTCATATTGGGATTTTCCCCTCATGTATAAAAGGGGATCCTTGCCATTTTGTAAAGGAGAACATTGAATATACAAGAACATACTCTCTGCTTTCTAACTAAACATATTCCCTTGATTTCATTATTTTCATTTATCGCTTGTATGTATTGTGTTCTATTTATTGTTCATTATTTATTGCTCATTATTGATCATAAAAAGTCGCCATCGCGGCTCTCATAACTGTTAATTCTCCCCCGATCGCCCTTAGTCGGACATCCGACTCGACCTCGATGCCCCGCATACGCAAGCTCGAGGCCTCGATTCCCAGCCATTTCGATTTGATTATTAGGCTATCTACAAGCTATCATCTTAATTTCTAATCCTTCGCTTAGCATTTATTACCTAACAACTAGCATAAAAATAGATCACATATTTTTAGAACCATAAAATCAAATCTAATTGTTATTACCATTTTCAAGCTAAACAATTAGGATTCACATTAATAGAAAAAGAAGAGTAGGGTTCTCTGTTAAAAACAAGGTGGACGTGCTTAAGAACTTAAATGCCCTTGTAACCAGCAACTTACACAGACCCCTACCGTCCAGTGGAAGAATCGACCTTTTACTAGTATGACGAAAATTGATAGTCTTAAATAACCTTAAGAATTGACCTTTTATTAGTACGATAAAAATTTGATATATATGGTCTTATACATTACTGACTGAAGCCTTTCTTCACTGAACCAGATTTTAAGATCTGTTGCTATGATCAAGTTTCATCCTGTTTTACTACAGTACTGGGACCATCAGTATATATCACTTTGTTGAATAACTTGTTAGAAATACGCTTTAGAAGCTGCTCTCCGTAAAATTATTTTATCGTTTCAGCTATTTACTGCAGTAATTTAGTTTGAATTTGAAATGATTTTGAACTAGTCTTTAGGAGTGAACTAGTCTCTAGGAGTTAGTTATTTTCAGCATATTTTGTGCTGATTTTTAGGTCTTTTAAGTTAGTATTTCTCTTATAAATTGTAGTCCAAATGCAGTAAAATAATATAGAATTTTCAGCTTCAGTTCCTTTTACATCTATTCCAGTATACTTTTTTATTTTCTTGTCATCTTCCCAGTTATTTCCCTTAATTTCTTTTATCAAGAACCAACAATTGGTATCAAGAGCCATCTTCTTAAGTGACCTAAGTAAAATCTTTTCTTGAGTGAGATGGAGACTGAAATGAGTTTTTCTCAATTGGCTCCTCCGGTCTTTGATGGTGAAAATTATCAATTGTGGGCAGTGAGAATGGAGACTTACTTGGAGGCTTTAGATCTTTGAGAGGCCGTGGAAGAGGATTATGATGTTCTTCCGCTGCCTAACAATCCCACCGTGGCCCAGATCAAGAGTCACAAGGAAAAGAAAACCAGGAAATCAAAGGCGAAAGCAACTTTGTTTGCTGGTGTGTCTGCAACAATTTTCACGAGAGTTATGGCTCTCAAATCAGCAAAAGAAATCTGGGATTATCTGAAGGGAGAATATACAGGAGATGAAAGAATACGAGGCATGAAGGTGTTGAATTTAATAAGGGAATTCGAGTTGCAGAAAATGAAGGAATTTGAGACTGTCAAAGAATACTCAGATCGGTTGCTTGGCATTGTTAACAAGGTAAGATTGCTTGGTACTAAATTCAAAGATTCAAGAATTGTTGAAAAAATTCTTGTTACGGTGCCTGAAAAATATGAAGTATCTATAACTACCTTGGAAAATACAAATGATCTATCCAAGATTACCTTGGCAGAATTGTTAAATACATTGCAGGCACAAGAGCAAAGGAGGCTTATGAGGCAAGATGGTATGGTTGAAGGAGCCCTGGCAGCCAACCACAAAACTCAAAGCAAGGGTAATAATGTTAAAAAAAATTACCCGCCTTGTCAGCACTGTGGCAAAAAAGGTCATCCACCATTCAATGTTGGAAGAGGCCAGATGCAAAGTGCAAAATTTGCAACCAACTTGGTCATGAAGCTGTAATTTGCAAAGGCAAATATCAAAAGCATGAAGCAGATGCCCAAGTCGCCAATGAAGAAGAAGAAGATCACTTGTTTGTGGAAACTATTCTTTCAACCAAAAAATCTGTTTTTTTGGTTGATTGACAGTGGTTGTACAAACCACATGACATATGACAGAAATCTTTTCAAAGAGTTCACGTCTATAGGAAATAAGAAAGTCAGAATTGGAAATGGTGATTATATTCTTGCTAAAGGAAAAGGAACTGTTGCAATCCCAACAAATTCAGGTACTAAGAAAATTTCAGATGTTCTTTATGTTCCTGATATTGATCAAAATTTATTAAGTGTTGGACAACTAATGAAAAAAGGATTTGAAGTATCCTTTGAAGATAAATACTGTTTCATTTATGATGCAACTGGACTTGAGATTTTAAGGGTTAAAATGAGAGGTAAAAATTTCTCATTTGATCCAACCGAAGATGAAGAATGGAGCCAAAAGAATCTACTAAGTGCAGGTAATTCTCCAACTGAGGACATATGTGAAAATAAGGTAAGGAAGAAGTTGTCAATATTTCAGAAAATGCAATTCTGGAAGAAAGTTGACAAGTCTCAAGGCAAGATGCAAATGAAGCTGAAAAACGAGCCAACTTATTTCATTAACAATTATGAGATGCAGCAAAATACAGAAGTGAACTCGATTCACTGCAAGTCCAAAGATCAATTGGCAGATTTACGTACAAAGTCGCTTCCAGTTAAAGGTTTACAAGGGACAAATTCAGAAGTTGCAGCTTCAAAAGCAAGGAGGAGTGTTAGAAATATGCTTTAGAAGCTGCTCTCAGTAAAATTATTTTACTGTTTCAGCTATTTACTGCAGTAATTTAGTTTGAATTTGAAATAATTTTGAACTAGTCTTTAGGAGTGAACTAGTCTCTAGGAGTTAGTTATTTTCAGCATATTTTGTGCTGATTTTTAGGTCTTTTAAGTTAGTATTTCTCTTATAAATTGTAGTCCAAATGCAGTAAAATAATATAGTATTTTCAGCTTCAGTTCCTTTTACATCTATTCCAGTATATTTTTTCTATTATCTTGTCATCTTCCCAGTTATTTCCCTTAATTTCTTTTATCAAGAACCAACAATTGGTATCAGAGCCATCTTCTTAAGGGACCTAAGTAAAATCTTTTCTTGAGTGAGATGGAGACTGAAATGAGTTTTTCTCAATTGGCTCCTCCGGTCTTTGATGGTGAAAATTACCAACTGTGGGCAGTGAGAATGGAGACTTACTTGGAGGCTTTAGATCTTTGGGAGGCCGTGGAAGAGGATTATGATGTTCTTCCGCTGCCTAACAATCCCACGGTGGCCCAGATCAAGAGTCACAAGGAAAAGAAGACCAGGAAATCAAAGGCGAAAGCAACTTTGTTTGCTGGTGTGTCTGCAACAATTTTCACGAGAGTTATGGCTCTCAAATCAGCAAAAAAAATCTGGGATTATCTGAAGGGAGAATATATAGGAGATGAAAGAATTCGAGGCATGAAGGTGCTGAATTTAATAAGGGAATTCGAGTTGCAGAAAATGAAGGAATCTGAGACCGTCAAAGAATACTCTGATCGGTTGCTTGACATTGTTAACAAGGTAAGATTGCTTGGTACTAAATTTAAAGATTCAAGAATTGTTGAAAAAATTCTTGTTACGGTGCCTGAAAAATATGAAGTATCTATAACTACCTTGGAAAATACAAATGATCTATCCAAGATTACCTTGGCAGAATTGTTAAATACATTGCAGGCACAAGAGCAAAGGAGGCTTATGAGGCAAGATGGTATGGTTGAAGGAGCCCTGGCAGCCAACCACAAAACTTAAAGCAAGGGTAATAATGTTAAAAGAAATTACCCGCCTTGTCAGCACTGTGGCAAAAAAGGTCATCCACCATTCAATGTTGGAAGAGGCCAGATGCAAAGTGCAAAATTTGCAACCAACTTGGTCATGAAGCTGTAATTTGCAAAGGCAAATATCAAAAGCATGAAGCAGATGCCCAAGTCGCCAATGAAGAAGAAGAAGATCACTTGTTTGTGGAAACTATTCTTTCAACCAAAAAATCTGTTTTTTTGGTTGATTGACAGTGGTTGTACAAACCACATGACATATGACAGAAATCTTTTCAAAGAGTTCACGTCTATAGGAAATAAGAAAGTCAGAATTGGAAATGGTGATTATATTCTTGCTAAAGGAAAAGGAACTGTTGCAATCCCAACAAATTCAGGTACTAAGAAAATTTCAGATGTTCTTTATGTTCCTGATATTGATCAAAATTTATTAAGTGTTGGACAACTAATGAAAAAAGGATTTGAAGTATCCTTTGAAGATAAATACTGTTTCATTTATGATGCAACTGGACTTGAGATTTTAAGGGTTAAAATGAGAGGTAAAAATTTCTCATTTGATCCAACCGAAGATGAAGAATGGAGCCAAAAGAATCTACTAAGTGCAGGTAATTCTCCAACTGAGGACATATGTGAAAATAAGGTAAGGAAGAAGTTGTCAATATTTCAGAAAATGTAATTCTGGAAGAAAGTTGACAAGTCTCAAGGCAAGATGCAAATGAAGCTGAAAAACGAGCCAACTTATTTCATTAACAATTATGAGATGCAGCAAAATACAGAAGTGAACTCGATTCACTGCAAGTCCAAAGATCAATTGGCAGATTTACGTACAAAGTACGCTTCCAGTTAAAGATTTACAAGGGACAAATTCAGAATTTGCAGCTTCAAAAGCAAGGAGGAGTGTTAGAAATATGCTTTAGAAGCTGCTCTCAGTAAAATTATTTTACTGTTTCAGCTATTTACTGCAGTAATTTAGTTTGAATTTGAAATAATTTTGAACTAGTCTTTAGGAGTGAACTAGTCTCTAGGAGTTAGTTATTTTCAGCATATTTTGTGCTGATTTTTAGGTCTTTTAAGTTAGTATTTCTCTTATAAATTGTAGTCCAAATGCAGTAAAATAATATAGAATTTTCAGCTTCAGTTCCTTTTACATCTATTCCAGTATACTTTTTTATTTTATTGTCATCTTCCCAGTTATTTCCCTTAATTTCTTTTATCAAGAACCAACATAAATGATACAAAAATTTTGTTTTAAGTAGCTCCATGCATGGACTGGAACCCTTTGTTTCTTGATTCTGAAAGCACTGAAAAAACATAAATTCTGAGGACAAAAATACAGTTTGCGCCAAACTATCAACCAGCTAGAGAATCAGATCTTCCTTTTGCTTCATTTTGGCAAAAAATTGTGTATTCAATTCAAATCTGAGAAGGTTGATACTATGATACATGATGGATGACCATTTCCATGACTTGGAAAAAAAACCTCCAGATTTTCTAGGAGGGACGCTAGGGCAAACATGAAAGAATTGATGGGGGGTCAAGGTTGTTTACACTGTACATGAACCAAAAAGCAATTAGTGTACAGTTTAATTTACATGGGAAGCTATGCTGAAATCATCTCCTTTTAGGCATACACCAAGAGCAGGATGCTCTAGTATCTCCACGAGCAACAAGTGTGCAGCCGCGTCATATACCAAGAAAGATCCTGAAGTTCTTTAAAGAGCTAAAATTGTTTAGAGTGTATTATCATCTTGAGAGGTAAAATCTGTCCTTGAATTAGTTCCATGTTCATTTGCTGAATGGCAACTGCTTTGCTCCACTCTCTACAGCATCTCTCCATATTCTATACCTCACTCCTAGCTTATCGTATGACACAGGCAGGTTCCAAATGTTAGCACCATTGAGCATCCGTTCTTGCTGACCAATCACAAGCCGTAGGTCTTCATTTAAAACCTGAAAACGTTTTCCCAAAGCATAGATCACAAAAGAACGATCAGAACATATATTTTTAAATACTTCCTTTTCAGTTTTTAGGTGGGAAAATCTTTAATACAATATCCAGTTTACAAGAAAATCAAATGTAGATAATTTCTTTTTAATTAGGAAATAAGTTTCCACTTTACATTTTGGCGGGCTTCTTTAGTTGTTTTCATCATTATTTTGTTGTCTAAATAATAGATGTGGAAAACTCAAGAGTTCAGCCGCTTTGCACTGAGAGCTTTGAGACGTGATCTTGCAATGCTTGTTCCACAGCCCAAAGTGTTAATGGTAAGATGAGGAATGACACTACCAATGTTAAGGATAGAATCTAACCTGTTCAGCAAAATGCCTCCACACGTATTGCATGAAAGGGATGTGTTTTAGTACGGGAGCAAAATCCAGTGACATCCTATATAACAACCTTGTCTTCTGTTTAGATGCAGGTAAACATACATGAAGTTGGTGAAGGTGTGTAGAGCACTCTTTGGTACTCTGCCCTTCCAATTTGCCTGGCTTTGAGATTCCAATGGTTGATAGAACCATACAAGGCGGTCGAAATTCCATATCTATTGGATATGGATCCCAATATCCTTGCAGACCAGATGCAGGAGTCAAAAATTTTACAAAGCTGAAAAGAAAGGTAACTAGTGAGTGTTCTTATCTTCGAGCCTTTACTGCCAGACATTATCCATCAAAACAGTACAGGAACCACTGCCCTCCACCCCAACCCCCTTAAAACAAAAAAGTAAACAATAGAAATATAGTATTGCACTATTCTGGTTGTCATAAACTGGAAACATCTTTTCCATGTTCATAGCTAATAATGCTCCACAATATTTTCCCTTCCACTCAATGCACAAGACCACTGTAATTAACAAGATTACAAAGATTTATTTCTTTATGCCTTCTTATAGAAATTCATTTTGGGATGTGAAGAAATTATTAACTAGCAAAGTAAGAATTACCAACTAATCTAATTTGGTATGCTCGTCAAGAATCTCTTCCCATTCGTTCAAATCCCAATTAAAGTCATATTTACAAAGTAATTGAAAAGTTCTGATTAGTTTAATAGGTAAGCAACCTTATGGAAGTTAACCAAGAAGCAACATAACATAATGGACCTCTTACATGAAATATGCATGCAGGTCCAAATTGTTTTGGTGATTATATATATATATATATAGGGAGAGAAAGAAAGAGAGTCAGAAGAGTTATTCTGCAGACTGCAAACATGATCAATCCAGTGAGATAATTTATTATTTATTTTGGCATGTAATTCACTAGTTCTTAAGAAATTATGCAGGAACCAAGAATTTGCCTTCAGTTCCTTAGTGTCCAAAGTGGAATTTCAAGAACAGCCGGCATCTTTTTCTAATTTCAAAACTGAATACTAGTAAACCACTGTTACTCTAACTTTAGACAAATTAGCATCAATATAACACAACAAACCTTGGGACACTCCATCCTTTAGCAAATGTAGACGTATGGGTGAAAGGAGCATGTGCAAGATCCAAAAGATTGTCCAAAAGTAGCCCATGTTCCACTGGAAGTTCAATGACAATCTGCCAGTTTCAAGAACATCAGGAATGAGGCAGAAAAACTTAACAGACTGTCCTTAGATATTTGTGTAAAAACAATTACTAAAATCTAAAGGCAGTATATCAAACCTCTGCATGGATTTGAAATCCAGAAGGTGGCAGTAAAGAAGGAAGAGTAGCTGCAGGAGGATCATTTCCAGGCCAAATCCATATCATTCCCTCTTGCTCAAAGCATGGCAGAGCTTTGATCTTGACATTCAGAAATTTTGTTGATGGCATTTTCTCACATTTTCCGTCTGTTGAATATTCCCACCCTAAAGAACATCAAATAAACATAAAAGTAAATATCAGCTATTTCGTGCACTCTCCACGTATCAAGAACCAAATTCATTAAGTGTTATTTATTGACTAAATAGGAAATTTGCACTGAAGAGTGCTTTGATTCTTCTTATTCTCACCGTGATAAGGACATTGTATGCGACCCTCATTCACTGAACCCAAATGAAGGGGGCAGGCTCTATGTGCACATGTGTTCTGGACACATCCAGGTTTTCCATCTTTCCCACGAAAAATCACCCACGGTTCCTCAAAGCAATCAATTGGTGTCTGAAACATTATAGTCAAATTACCATCAAAAGATCAGCCAGTGTTATACTGCAAAAAGCATAAAAATCTTAACATACCAGTTCCTATCTAGGTTTTCATTGTCATATTCTCTCCTCTTTCAGAAAGTTAGAGAGGAGATGGTACAACATTCTATTTGTTGGCAACACATATTGCATCAGTCCATTTAAGTAGCTTAACATTGTCCTTATCTATTTTTCTGGGGGACTTATTAATTCGTAGAGAGTACAGAACTTGGTAATCAAATGTTGTCTGCATTTATGAAAAATGAGATTATTCCATAAATCAGGTAATTGACTTACCATTGTGTCTTCCTTAACATCAGCAGAGAAAGCGACAGGATACCAAAAGTTCTTCAAATGCGAGCTGTACTCTTGGACCGGACCTGACACATTGAGGGTTCTCCTAGGCTGCTTGCTTTTAGCAGTATCTCTAGATACTGTAGACGTACCGGTGGAGGAAGATGGGGAATCTAATTCTTCTGTACTCTTCTCCGGAAGCAGCCTATCATTAACCAATGCTTCCATGTGAGCTAGCTTATCTAAAGCAGCAGAAACCCGCACCTCAGATATATGTACCTGTTGCTATCAATAATTTAGATACAGAACTTGGTTTCCGTGAAATACACAAGATCCTCCAACCTGCTTTTTGTGTTTGTTATTCTTTTTTTGACAAGATTTTTAAACCAGTTTATCTATGTAGTTAATCATGCCCTGCTTTAATAAGTTTAAGAGATAAAAGGAAAATAGACCTAACTAACCGATAATAATGGCAAAATATTTGATATATTATTTCTACCCAAAATCTATAAAGGAGTAGCCTGAATCCAACCAACACAAGCTTGTTCAATGGGATCAAAGTATTCTATACCTCTTGGTGAGCCCGAGAAAGTTCTTCTTGTAACTCCGCGAGTTCCTTCTTCATGGTCCCAATAGATTTATATTCACGCGCTAGAGGATTCAATACTTCCACAACCTACTCACACAATATCCACCAGGCACAACACTTAGTAGAAGGATAAAAAGGAAGACAACTATGACCAGAAAAAATAGAAACAGCTACAAAAGAAGGAACAGTCACTAATTAGCAGAAATGAAACATTTATGTGACGTTAATTCCTTATTAGTTCATTACAAAAAGAATGACACATTTCTATATTTGAAAACAATTTAACTTTAACTTCCCATTTTAGCCTTAATGAGAAGTTTTTATGGCCATACAAATGACATGGCATATTTAAGACCACAAGTTTCACAAGTCTTCTTTTATTTCTTTAACTCCGTGTCGAGTCAAATTATGTCACATAAGTTGAAAGGGAGGGAGTAGTATATTTATATACAAAGCTATTGCTCTATGTACATAGAGATATAATGAATCCTTAAACTCAACTCAGTTTCAAACTTCAATAAAATCAGGGGTAAATACACATTATTACAAGAACAAACCTTTTCATGCAGGAGCATTATTGTAAGTACGTCTTGTCGAGCTCGCCAATCACAATATTGTATATCAAATCTAGCAACTTCTAAAGCTTGATTTGCATCCAGGAACTTGCCTTTAGACAGAGGAAATTTTGACCTTGGATCTTCCACATCAAAGAGTGTCAACCAGGAGCTTTTCTTGTTTGTTAACCCACCTGCCTCCTCGTACACTGCAAACACTCCAAATTCCCCTTTGAAACACTGAAAATGAACAAAATTGCACAATTATCGTCCACTCAACAAGTCATCAGACAGAGAAATTGCAAGTGATGTATGTGTCTCTCCACATTCAGATAACTTCCCAAATAACCCAACCAATTACTATGTGAATTACTTGTACTTATTATACCCGACACCGGACACCCCAGAGCATAAAAACATGCCACAAACCAAAGCATTAACATTGAGTGAAAGATCAGAGCCATCAGAGTCTAGTAAGCTTTAGAGCATGTTTGGCCAAGCTTCTGGGAGGTCAAAAGTACTTTTTTCCTCAAAAAAGTACTTTTTAAAAAATTTAAGTTGTTTGGACAATACAGAGAAGTACTTTTGGCCAGCAGCAGAAGCAATTTTTCTGCTTTTAGGAAGAAGCACATGTTGTAGCTTCTTCCAAGAAGCAGAAGCAGAAGTGGAAAATTAATTTATTCAAGACAAAACTATCATCACCATACATTTATATTTTCCAAATTATCCCTTACTAATTTAAGTTTTTTCTCTTCATTTTTGTTTATCATCCCTTTAAAATTAAAGATATCGTATACATGAATCAAACTGTAACTTTCTAAATTCTTTATTGACTTTTCTTGTTTTTGATTTTTTTGGTGTAATGTCTTGTAACTTTCCAAATTATCTTCTCTTTCTTCACACTAAATCAAATTATCCACATCTTCTCTGGATTATCAATTCTCTTCCTACAATTAATCATTTATAATTTCTTTTGTTATATGTTAGTTCTCGAATCTTTAAAACATTTATCAAATCTAATTTGTGAAAATTACCTACAAATAGGTAATAAATTCACAATTGCATCGTATAATCTAATTATATATAATTAAAAGAAGAAGAAAAAGCATCACACATTAAGCCAAGTGACAATAGGCCACTTAGCAATTTAGGACAAAGTTAGTAAGGTTAGGTAATACTCATTAGTTTCTTTTTGAATTTAAATTTTAAAAAATTTAAATTATACATTATGTGTTGTTAATAATTAGTTACTCTTTTTGAATCTGAATTTAAACATACTTAACTATTTTTTTACAAAAAAATTTATTTTTATATATTTAAAATTATTTCTATTTTACGCTCAATGCCATCTTTCAAGTTTGATACTCAGAATCATCTAGTTACTATTATCATGGCTATACATAATTTCATCCGACGACATTCTTCTACCGATAAGGAATTCAATTATTATGCTAATGAAAACATTACTGCAGAGATTGAGGAAGGAGTTGGGCCTTCTGATATTCCTTTAGAAATGCAAGGCAAGTATTCTACTAATATGGAGGCGTTGTCTGATAGACGTAGAGATGAAATTGTTGAGAAATATTATCATGTGTGAGTGACTTTACTTATTATTTCATGGTAGATTATCAATATATAGTCATTTGTGGAATAGACTTCTAATTAATATTGAATGATGTATTTTTGATTATTCAAATCATCATGTAACAACAAGTAATTATACTAGATAATAATATATGCTTTGGTATAACTATATATGTAAAATTGATTTAAATCTTTAATATATTTGTTTACTTTATGTTTTATATTTTAATTAAATAAAATAAAAAATAATAAAAGTCTCTTATGATAAATATTTGAGTTCATTTTTCTCTATAAAAGAATTATAAGACCTTGGTAATATCCTTTTTGGTAATTTGACACTCAAAAGTACTTTTCGAAAGATTGGCCAAACACAATTTGTTTACCAAATGTTGCAAAAAGTACTTCTTAAATGAATTGGCCAAACACAAACTGTTTTCTTTAAAAGTACTTTTGAAATAAGTACTTCTGAAAAAAATATTTTTCAAAATAAGCAGATTTTTGCAGCTTGGTCAAACGGGCTCTTAGTTCCTTTGTTTCATTTTATACGGCGGCACAATTTTAAGGGGAAAAAAATTTAGAACTTGTGGGTTTAACTTTAGTATGCATTGATAATGGAAAACTTTTACATTAGCACGTCCTCTTAAACGATATTAAATGTAAATACTGAAGAATAATATTTTATTAGAAATCTCTAAAAGATCTCTGCAATTCTTTATTTCCTCCACACATAAAATAAGCTATCAATACCCCTATTTATAATAGTATGAAACATATTTCAACTAGAAACAGGAAAGCCTATTCCTATATAATTCTAACTATAAATCTTATTTAGACATGAATTAAATAAATCTAATCCTAAATAATTAAGGTATCTTACTACAACTTTGAATTAGTTTTCCAACATTCTCCCATAATGCAAAGTTGTATACGTCTGACTTGTTCGATGTGCAGTTATGTTGGAGCACTTCTCTCCAACTTTCACTTTTGATGAAGCACATGTCTCCATCCCTCAATTTGTTGAAGCACCTGTGTCCAACTCACGTTGATGCACTTTGTCACCAACACTCAATTTTGTTGAAGCACCTGTCTCCAACTCACGTTAATGCACTTTGTCACCAACCGTTGATGCACTTTGTCACCAACACTCAATTTTTGTTGAAGCACCTATCTTCGTTGATGCACTTTGTCACCAACACTCAATTTTGTTGAAACACATAATCAACTTCCAGCTTTGTTAAACCTCTCTCCAACTTTTAGAGAAGAATTTCTCCATCTTGTGCATTATTGGTACTTTTTTTTTCTTGAATCTGTCTTGAAACTTTTCATCGAATAACCTAATTTTGTTGACAACTATCTACGATTTTGCTAACATATTTTTTGGCACGACGGGCGGCACGCATTGTCTAGCGCCGCCCGCCGGCAGCGGAAGCTACTTGATTCTCTCCTAAGATCGTAGAAGCTCTTATACCAATATGAAGGAATAATATTTTATTAGAAATCTCTAAAAGATCTCTACAATTCTTTATTTCCTCCACACATAAAATAAGCTATCAATATCCGTATTTATAATAGTATGAAACATATTTCAACTAGAAACAGGAAGGCCTATTCCTATATTTGCTCTAACTACAAATCCTATTTAGACATGAATTAAATAAATCAAATCCTAAATAATTAAGGTATCCTACTACAACTTTGAATTAGTTTTCCAACAAATGCTCATAATCGTTTAACTAGCAACCTGAAAAATTAAGTCAAGTAACCTTCTAGAGCAGGCAATATATAGTATTGCTGAAAAGTTTATTTTCACCGTAAGTGGATATGTGATAAATCCAGCTAAATTTAAAGATTGTATAACGTAAGGTAGGCTATAACAGTAGTAAAAAAGAGGTACCTTTCTTGTAGTAAAAGTCTTGGTAGAACGGCAGAAAGAGAAGGGAAAAGAGAGAGCAGCAGAAGTAGCAATGGCGGACATCGCGGATCTGCTATTTTGGGAAGATGAAAGAGACGGTCTTCTCTTGTCCGAGAGAGAGAGAGATAATTGAGTCAATTACGTTTTAGGAGGGAGGGATTTGGTTTTGTTGATAAGAGGTTGGTGTTGGGCGCGATCTCGACGTTCCTGCCATGGTTCGCCATGTGGACTCGCTGTGTTTCACTCGTGGCATCTCTGATCTCCACATGCTTCCTTTTTTACTTATTTTTATTAAGACAAGTATCCTCTCTGTCTCTTGGGGCCCGATTCTCTATATCTTCTATTGCCAGCGTGGTTATATCTTTTCTATCTGCTTTCAATTCTCATTGGCTATCAGAATCCTTCTTTATTAGTTTGATATAACGGCACATCCTCTAATAAATAAGTGTCTCAATCAGCTAGAAACAGTAGTTTGTTAACTAAAATCTAATATTAATGGCTGTAGTCACCTTACAAGTAACTGAAAGTGAGTACTTTGTCTACCTCTCAAATATTTAAGACATAAAGAAAGAACTGCAAAATGCGTTGGTGCTATTCGTACATTATGGACCCTTACAATTTTGAATTTAAAAAAATGATCTTTTTAGATCTCTTATGGGTAAAAGGCAGATCTCTTACGTGTAAAAGTAAATCTCCCATGTGTAAAAAGAGGTAGGGTCATAAAACTAAAAACAAGTTTGTAAAAAGTCAAAAAACCAATGACTCCGATCCCTCCATTCTGATTGTGGTTTGCTCCTCGAGATACAAAATTATGTGAACTTTGACCAATATTTTAAAATATTTTTTTAATTATATTGACATGAGAAGAATTGAAACCTATAGCACTTTTCGTATAGTTTTTCAATATCTAAATTTTAATTTTAACATATTAAGTTGATATAATCCAATTTAGCTTCAACGATTAGACAAATTGAATCACAAGAAGTGAAAAATGTCATATAAATTGAGACGACGTATAAGTATTGACTTAAGTTACATGCACTAGAGTGTATAAAGATTTTTTTTATACCATTAGTTAAAATTTTAACATGTGATATGTCATGGGCGGCTTTCCATTCACGCCCCATGACCCCTTGGATGCGCCCATAGCATCCTAGCAAGCCTCACACCGCCTAGCGCCATGGACGGCCCCGTGGTATTGCCCGCGCCAAATGAAAAGCACGCATGTTCCTCTGTCGCCTCGTCGATAGCCCTCGCCACCGCCCAGCTGCAGTCAGATGTCAACAGCACCACGCGCGCAGATTCTGATGCTAAAGGCAAGGTTGCTACCAACGGACCTGCTTCTACCTTGTAGTAACCTAAGTCCTTTTTATTGTAAATATAGAGTAGTTTTACTTCCTGTATTTTCATTATGTCTCTCTAGCTTAGTTATGTCAAGTCCTGTAACTTTGGTTTATTCTTTTTAAGCATTATCAGGGGGATCAAGCAATCACACTTTCAAGCAAGCAAACAATTCTGTGTAATGCTATCTCTCCCCCTCAATACCGTATTGCCTTTCTGTAATAGCTTTCATTAATGCAATCAAGCTTTCTTTCATTCTCATTCTCTTTTCTATTCTCTCAATTTCTCTTGACATTGTTTTTCCGTACGGCACTGACAGTCTCGTCTAGCGTACGAAGGAGACCCTAGTTGGCGGATAGTAATCGCACAGACATTGGTTGCTTAGCCTTCTGTCGCCCTTCCAAGAAATCTCAGGAAGGCGCCGCGTTACAGTTGGTATCAGAGCCTAGGCTCGACATCGAACGAGAGAACATATTGTCATTGCCACCATCTGACCATGGTGAATCATGGGGACCGCATTGCACCCCTTGAAGAGACGATTAATGTATTGGAGCCCATTGCGAATATAGTACCTGATCTAAGAACCAGCGTAGTGGAAAGGCTGGATGACCTGCACTGCAGGATGCGGCAGACCAAAGGAGATATAGCCAACATAAGTCGCGACTCTGAAAGAGACCGGCAAATGACAACCACAGAGGCAACCAAAATTTTCAGTAAATTCGAGGGGCTTCAACAGGAGCAGACCGAGGATTTAGCCTATAGGGCACAAGAGCAGACCAGGTGACTGCCATGCAGCAAACCATAGACAACTTGACAGACTAGTTTAATGTTGTCAACGTTGCATTACAAGGCCTACTCTGAGGAGGCGAAAACCACATCAGAGATGCTGTGAACCTCTCCCATGTGACATAAAAGGTGAAGATTCTTGAATCAAAGCCCTATAATGGGGCTTGGAATTCCAAATAATGGAGAACTTCATCTTTGACATTGAACAGTACTTTGATGATGTGGGGGAGTTAGAAGAATCAAAAAAGGTAGTAATTGCTACCATGTATCTTTAGGGTGATGCTAAACTCTGGTGGCGAGTGAAATCCGAAGTCATAAGGGTCGGTGAAGATACTCTTGAAATATGGGGAGACCTGAAAGAAGCCATACGCCTACAGTTCTTCCCCGAAAACGTCGAGTACAATGCGCGGAGAAAGCTCCAGGAGCTCCGCCAGACTAAGTCAGTCCGGGATTACGTGCGGAAATTCTTCACACTCATGCGGAACATACGAGTATGGGGGACAAAGACTTCACCTTCCTGAAAGGTAACCTTATGCCCGTATGGAGCTGCAAACACAAAGGATAGATACTTTACCCAAGGCGATCCAACCAGCCGAATGCCTTGAGGACTACTAAGTGGAAGCTCGGAAGGATAAGCCTCAACCGCCTGTCCGAGGAGGATACAAAGGGGGCCATCCTAGAAGTGGTGGCCCTAGCAAAAGTGGAGGATATTAGAGTGCAACCAAATCTAAGACTCCTTTCTCAAGCAGCAATAGTACAGCATCTCATAACAACGATCAGGGGAGGAAGCCCCTTTCAGGATGTCATCATTGCGACGGGCTGCATTGGAACAATGAATGCACACAGGCACAAATGAACGTCCATCAAACTTTTAATGATGGGACGGATGACGACACAGATGATGCTGACCAGACAGAACCAATAGGTGCCTTCAGAGCACTTGTTTGTTTTATTTCTGAGGCCTTAGCTGGAACAAGTGTCGGCGTCTGTAAGAAGGACCCATGCCCAACTACCAAGAAAAATAAAATGAAGGCGGATGAGGTGTCTCCTCTTAACTAAGAGAAGACCCCGATGTTCGTCGAAATGAAAGTTAATGGAAAGCCCATTCGAGCGATGATAGACACGGGTGATACTCACAATTACTTAGCTTCAACTTAGGTAGAGCGCTTTGGTCTAGTTCCGGGAAAGGGCAAAGGTCGTATCAAGGCTATCAACTCCCGCCTCAGGCAGTGGGTGGTATAGCCAAAGGAGTGCCGGTGAAGCTTGGTCCTTAAGGAAAATTCAACTTGCATGTGGTGATCATAGATAACTTCGAGCTGATAGTTGGATTGGAATTCATGAGGTAAACCAAATCTATTCATGTACCTTATGCAGATATGTTGCTGATGATGGGAGCAAATGGGTCCAAGCCACGCACAACCATAAAGATTGCCGCAGAGAACATATCGGCCTTGCAGTTGAAGAAATGAGTGAAAAGACATAAACCTACCTTCCTTGATACCCTCTGTATTGAAGATAATGAACGCTCTTCGGGTCCCAATCCTGCACCTATGAAAGAGCTGCTAAAGGAGTTTAAAGACGTCATGCCACATGACATGCCAAAATGACTCCTGCCTAGGCGCACTGTGGACCATGATATTGAGTTCGTGTCGGGTGCGAAGCCACCCGCCCGGGCGCCTTACAGAATATCATAACCCAAACTCACCGAGCTTCGGAGACAGTTGATGGAAATATTGGACACGGGGATCATTATGTCCTCCAAGTCACCTTATGGGTCCCCTATGTTGTTCCATAAGAAACAGGATGGCTTAGTAGTATGGTACCTTTCTTGTAGTAAAAGAGGTACTTTCTTGTAGTAGAAGTCTTGGTAGAACGTCAAAAAGAGAAAGGAAAAGACAGAGCAGCAGAAGTAGCAATGGCGGACATGGCAGCCCGGGCAATTCTCGAAAGATGAAAGAGACGGTCTTCTCTTTGTCCAAGGAGAGAGATAGTGAGAGAAAATGGAGTCAATTACTATGTTTTAGGAGGGAGGGATTTGGTTTTGATGATAAGAGGTTGGTGTTGGGCGCGATCTCGACGTTCCTGCCATGGCTCGCCATGTGGAGACTCTATGTTTCACTCGTGGCATCTCCGATCTCCACATGCTTCCTTTTTTACTTATTATATTAAGAGAAGTATCCTCTTGGGGTTCCTCTCTCTATATCTTCCAATTTGCCAGCGTGGACGGGGATTATATCTTCTCTATCTGCTTTCAATTCTCATTGGCTATCAGAATCCAAACAATGGCATACCCGCTCAACTGTGCCAATCAGCTACAAACTAGTTTATTACCTATTAAAATCTAATATTAATGGTTGTAGTCACTTTACAAGAAACTGAAAATGACAACTTTAATTTGTCTACCTCTTAAAATTTAAGAAGTAAAAGGCCAAATATACCCTTTTACTACGATCCCAATTTCCCTCTGTGGGATGTCTTGATGGCATTTAGTCTCTACGGCTAGGTAAGCCTAACATTCAATAACAGCTTGACATAAATAATTAATCAAAAATACTAAAACAAGTCAATTAAACTCATAAAATCTCCCGAAACAGAATCTCAACAAATACCTTCCCAAAACCGGTAGAACTGAGTCATAAGCTCTACATAGTAAAACTAGAATATCTACTACATCACTATCGGAAAGAAAATACAACACGAAGTAAAGATAAGAGAAGGTGACTCCGAGACCTGCGGACGCCGGGCATGCATACCTTGAAGTCTTCGCATAGCAGCTAAGAGACGATCACTAACGTTCGGCACGAGCAGACGTACCTGGATCTTCACAAAAAGATGTGCAGATGCGTAGTATGAGTACACCATAACGGTACTCAATAAGTATCAAGGCTAACTTCGGTAGAGTAGTGACGAGGTCAGGTCAAGACACCTACTAAGATATAATTAAACAGTATGAAAACATAATAAGGATAAATAATGGAAGGCGGAGAAATAACCGATACGAAACAAGTTAACAGCTTGAACTAATACCGGAATTGTAAGCATGAGAGTAACATAAAGGAATCAATTAAAGAGAACCACAATGTTCATATACGGACAACAACT